ATACAGTTGCAGTTCTGTTGTTCATCTAAAAAATGATAGATTTTATTAAACAATCGATGGATTTTTCTAAAATTACTTTTATGTCAGATGGGGCAGCATCGCAATACAAAAAAAAACTTTGCTAGTCTGTGTAGATTTCAGTCAAAGCATGTATTAGAAGCAGAATGGCATTTTTTTTGCAACGTCTCATGGGAAAAGTCCCTGTGAAGCCATTGGTGGCACTCTCAAGCGAATGGCAAAGAGAGCTAGTCTTGCTCGAGATTATGGAAACACCATAACAACTCCACTAGAATTATATAACTGGGTAGTTGAACAAACAGATAAAAATATCACGAAACTACGTTTCGAGTACATATACACTGAACAGTACATCGAAATGAACTATATAACAGCACAAAGACAATAACTGGCACACCTAAATTCCACAGTTTTGTGCCTAAAACTGGTGACAAAGAAGCGGCAAAAATTCAATTCAGAAGATGAACCAAAAATATTTAACTTGATTGGAAAAAGGAAAAAATAGCATGTATGAAAATAGATTTAAAACATTGAAAATATATGAATAAATGATAAATGAAAAATCTTCTCTTTTTCTCTCACATATTATCAGATTTTGCCTCAGTAGTAGACAACAAAATAAATGTTCACAAAAGCACTCTTATTAGTCCGCAAAGTGATAATTAAAATGTTATTCAATTGATTAAGAATTGTCGCGTAAAATTTGCGTGAATCATACATTACATGGTCAGGACCGTGGAGGCGAACCAGCCCCAGGCTGAAAGCCTCCCTAATAAAGTTAAATAATAATAATGGTCAGGACCTAGAATACTATGTCTAAATAACGTTTTGATGGGCATCATAAACCAAGCATAACGGTAAGCGACCAGGAGCACCTGTCGAATTAGCATCAGTTCTTTAATAAAGCACTGTATGGTAGAACAGGGGATAAATGCACGCCGAACAAAACGCCTGATTTTGTTCTTCATAGCTATTCCACTCTTAATTCTGGGATTTTTTGTGCCGAAATGCTAGTTTAAGTACTTAAATATCCCTGTGACTTGACAAATTTATGAATTAAAAACGCGAATGCTATGGACAATCGTATCGGGCGTTTTGTCCTGGGGTGCATTTTGGGCTGATTTCCCATATAGTTATAGCAAATAAGGGGCTGTTCATAAACTTCTCCATGAGAATGAACGAGATAGGAACGAATGGTGACCAAAGCAAATCAGGCATTACTGTCAATATTTGCGGGTGAGGAAAGGAGATGGGGAGATTTAGGTTAGATTTCGCGAAGTAATCTATATGGATTTTGATTTCATTCGCGTTTTTTATAGATGAACGATGTTTCAGTCCTGTGTGTCGAGTGTGTTAAGTTGCCATTTTTATAATGGATAGTGACGCTAGTTCTGAGAGTATCATTGATATTGATACGGCGGAAATAAATAGTGACGTAGAAAATGATGCTTCAGCGGAGTCAGCATTGTTTGAATCAGACATAGAGGAGGAAGAAAAAGACGAAATTTATTTTTCTAAATGTGGTACTGTACAGTGAATAAAATATTCAAGTTCATTTATTGAAAGTGCAGTGAGCGTTAGCGTTGTTATGATATACTTCGTAGATTGGATATTCTCAGTTAGACTACTTTTAGGAATAATGCTGAGGAGTAAACATTGGTTCCAAACTAAACAAGAGTAACAGAAGCATGACTGTCGCTATTCCCGGCCACGCCCATCTTTACCATAACTAGGGATAGGGAAGGAAATGTTGATGTAGTACTTACTTAACGAGAGGCCACCGACTTAGCGACACCCTCATAAGTGCTACGGATTTGGAGGGTTAAGTAGGGTATTCAGTTAGGATTCACCTCAAGTTGGCGATGCAACCAAAAGTATGTATTGTTTATTTGTTGTTTATTTAATCTCTCGATAGCCGGCTATCGAAAGAACATATTCATTTTGTTTAGTGATCATGAATTTTAAGAGTCATGACGAAGAGCTTGGGATTAAACCCATGATTTTCTGCTCAGTAAGCAAAATCGATCCCTCCAGGGTCATCGAGCATCTCATAATCCACAGCGCTTCGCGTCAAAGAACGAATATATGGATGGACTATCTATTATTGAATAACTATTATTTACGATAATTACATGAAAGAAATAAAATATAAACTACAAATAAAACGTGACTACTAAAATCTCAAAAAGATATTCTCACAAATATATTTCCTGCAACCAGCAATCTCAAAACCATAAGACGCTATAATGGTAATCTGCACATGTTAGACAAAAGAAGAGACCAAAAAGCAAGCGTCCGACACACAAAACCTGCCAAATCCACTTGCAGTCACAATCAACGATTCTACGAATCCCGAGCGCTCATAAATCATAAAACCGCTGACTGCGACACTCTGAAAGCGAAATTGACAGGCTCTATGCGTCAAACACCCGGCCTCCAATCTCCTCCCGCATCCAACAACACAAATCTCCATTACAACATCTAACGAATTCAAAACTTCGAAAATCACTCATCTATAGTAAGCGAGTGGAAGCAACCATTCTTCATGATACACTTTTTCTACTTATCTTTCTATTAGGCCTGTGAACATGCGTTAGCTTCGAAACTTCTAACCAAACTGGGAAATTTTCAAATCACAAATAAAAAAGAAAAAAAAAACTTAAAAAAACTTTCAAAGGTAACAAGTAAAATAAATATTGATTATTTTACGCAAAAACGAGCAAGTAATATTAAAACTCTTGTATCGTATGCTAATGCTAATTGACTGTAACAAAAATAATATGCTTAAATAAAATAAAATATTAATAAAATTATATGCAACATTTACTAGAAGATCATTACTTTATTGGTGAGAAGTTTCTAATAAGCCCTCCTAGTTCCTCTGTATACAGAACAAATCTGACACTATAATCAGAATTGCTCAGTCTGCATGAAGCAGCCGATTTCATCAAGGAAGTTCTATTAACAAACAAGAATTAATCGTTTGAGGCATACTGAAGCATTAAGAAGGTGATATGTGTCACTATAGGAAATCATCATCGTTGCAGATATAAAGAAATTAAACATAACCCTTTGCTTCAGTACCGTCAACCTCCATGTCCATGGGGAGGGCATTTATTAAAAGTGCAGTTGTGCGGCATAATCGCGTGGCCAATGTGAAAATGTCAACTCACTAAATCCATTACCTGCCGAGTTAAGAAAAACCATAACTTCGCGTATGAAGTAACATAAAAAAAAACACTTTGAACATAAAGTTTGATATGTCGCACGACTGGTTTTGGCTCTGGTCAAAAATTAAAAAATTACAATTAAATTTCTGGGGGCACCGTAACATTTCCTGGATGCCCAATGTGATCTTGGACAGTCGGTATAGCTGTCATTGGTCGATGGTACATCATTTGAGAAAAAAACATGATGTTCATCGTGTGTATACTTATTACAGAACAGTAAAGCTATATGCCGATCAAAAGTGACCCCGACGGGAACCGGAAAAACTCCGGAACCATGTATTGATCCAAATGTTTTAAGATGGATTAAAAAAAATTAATAGATCCCCGACAAAATGCAACTTGTTGTGAAGAAAAAGATTGAGAAATTATGTTTTTAGAGCTAATTTAATTTTGAAATCTATGCAAATTTAGACGTTAGGCACACAAAAGTTAACATGTCTTCGAAAAATTCAAAATTTTCTGAAATTTGGAAAGCATCTTTTTGATGACTATTTTCAAATCTGGCTCGAAATCTGACATCCAAAATTATCGTGGAGTTGTCATTATTTCATGCATCACAAAACTTTTCATCATAGACAAAATTTACCAACAAATAATAAAACCAAATAACAAGTCAACAGCATGACTTCTTCAAGGGCTACTCCACTGCTTATAATGCTAGGGTAATGGTAGCTCCGAAAAGCTCTTTACACTGACTTCAGCATTTGACAGAATTGACATAGAATTACTACTCTTCAATATCAGTAAGTAAAACATTGTAAATATTCTCACGCGTGATATTGCAGCAAAATATCATGCTTGATATTGATTTTACAAGCTCTTTTGATATTGCGAAACTATTCACAACGTGTAAAGTTTTTTTTTTTTTCCTTTGGTTTGTTTTTTCCGTCGATCTTGTTTTCCGTGCTGAGCACCAATGCTACCGACGTGCCAGGAAGGCAGCTCCCACACCTGGACCCTACCTATCGACCCATCAACTCATGAACCGGGGACCAACGGCTTTACTTCCCATCCGAAGGAAGAACGTGTAAAGTTGAAGTTATTCAAAAATTATTCCGTTGCACTTCGTTTTCATAGATAGAGAAAGCATAATAATGCTATCTCGTTTACTCTTCTCCGATGACAGACACGAAGCGACTGCAGCCAGTCGTTATGGAAGTTTCGGTAGCGTTCGGGTGTAAAGCAAAAATCAGGAAACTCAATCTCATCACAGTTTGGTGAGATTAGCAGTTGGTGAGTTTGGTTAGCTTGTTATTTCTAGCTGCGATATCACAGCTTGCAATATCAACCGCAGATGTTTGCTTGTTGATGTTTGTAAGAAATTGATGTCTGATCACATTGACGGCCGGCGGATTATATTGTGTCAGTTTATGTTAATGACGGGCTGTTCTTGAACGAGAACTTACGGATGGAGGACTTAGGTGAAGCTAAGAGCTGCTTGGGCATACACATCAGCCAGACTAAGGATACCATTACGTTAGATCAAGAAGCTTACGTTGAACCGAGTCTGACTAAATTCAACGTGTCTAGTGTTTACTACCTGGGACATCCCGGGAAATCAACAAAAATAGTAACTTCCCGTTTCCCGGGAAACCAGCCTTATTTCCCGGGAAATACCCGGACACTCTTTTGTGAATAAAAAAAATGCATAGGCGCTAAAAAGTTGTAGCGCATTATTTTATTCGTGTATACCATAGGCATACCTTCTTTTATTGTCCCTCAAATGTCATTCATCCACTTCCACTCGTCCGTCGCATTGTTTTTATTCGGCTGAAATTTCCATTCAACGATAAGGCACTGATTAAATTTTTAATTTGATTGCATTTTTTGGTTCGGAAATTTACAAAACAGTTGAATGTGCGTGATAATTCTACAATAAGAAGTGCTGTGGATGTAGTGCTGTGGTGCCAATTGAAACGACTATTTCATGTGTGGAATTTCCTTGAAGTAAGTGACAAACGAATTGTTGTTTTTATGCAGTTTGAAATTATTCATGGATCGCATGATATTGTTTCATTATAGAGCTTCAACTATGTCAAAAATATAGAAATACTTTCACAAAGTTCCGGGTGACACGGAGAAAGCCAAATGCGTAAAATGTTCTCAAATTCTCGCATGCAAGGGTTCTTCAACCAGCGGCTTACTGAGGCATCTGAGCTATAAACATAAACTTGTTCTAAAGCGTACTGCCGTCGATGACAAAGATGCTGGAACCTCCAGTGATAAGATTTCCAAGCCTGCATCAATGTTAAACTTTGTGAAACGTCGGCGCGGAGAAATCGGAGAGCAAATACATTCAAAATGCTCATTATTTTATCTCGAAATAAATAAATGAATTAAAGTGGTATTTTTCTTTGGATTTTACGTCCCAATTGGTGAGATGCACCTGCTCTCGTTTAACGCTAAATAAAATCGTTATTTGAGAGTAAAATTAAATCATTTTTAATTGATAAATAAAAAAAATTGTAAAATTTCCAGAATCCTGGGAAATGCCAATTTTTATTGCCCGTTTCCCGGGTAGTCAACATTGGTCGGGAAATGGAAACACTAAACATGTCTAACTGCAAATCAACGAAGACCCCGATGACCGACAAGCTTAACAAGGAAATGTCACCAAAACCCCAGACGAGACGAACCATATAGCAAACATCACGTATCAGGAAGCAATCGGCAGCCTAATGTACTTGGCTCAATGTATCCGACCAGATATTCTTTTCGCTGTGAACGTTACAATTAAAATCCAGGAATGCAACATTGGAGTGCTGTCAAGCATTTGTTTCGTTACCTCCGTAGAACTTTGAAAATGAAAGTGGTGTAAAAGAAGGATGCCAAGTTATTGGATACAGTGACGTGGACTGGGCAGGTGATCTGGAATTCAGGAAATCAACAAGTGGTTACATATTCAAGGTTGGTTGGTTGGTTGTCTTTAATAAGGAGATATTCAGCCAGACGCTAGTTCATCTCCGGGACTCAAGCTAAAGGGTGCAGCGATTTCCTGGTGCTGTAAGCGGCAGCCTACGATCGCTTTATCTACGTGTGAAGCTGAGTATTTGGGCCTATCTGCAGCAGTTCAAGAAGCAGCGTGGTGGAAAGGATTGATGTCACAATTCTAAGAGACTCGTTCGATCAAGATCCTTTGTGACAATCAAAGCACAATTGCCGTTGCTAACCCTAATAAAATTGTTATTGTTAAACCATTTGAAGAATAGCTCAATTGTTTGGGTTATCGTTCGTTTATGGTATTTTTTATTAGGGAAAGCTGGTGGTTATAATCCCAGGACAAAGCATACCGATATTAGGCATCACTATTTTCAAGATGCACTGAAGAAAGAAGTGGTCAACATTGATTATGACAACTCTGAAGACCCACTCGCTGATGGTCTCACGAAACCATTAACCCACGAAAAGCTAAGCAAAAATCGTGAAGCCATAGGATATTAGCTTAAGGGGGAGTATTAGAATAGTAAGCCATGACTCCAATCGACGAAGTAAATTTCGTCATTCAGTTATTGAACGTCAAACGAACAAGTCGTATTCTCAATAAATCATTACAATAAAAACACCTTGTTTCTCTAATTTGCAAAAATGTAACATATGACGTAATCAAAAAAACTTCCAAAGTTATTTTATCAATATTACTTAGTACCTAATGCATTGCTCAGCTTGAAGTTCAAAGGAATATTTAGCACTTATTATTCCTTTGAAATTCAAGCTGAACAAGTATTAGGTCCTAAGGAGGACCTATGAGGAAACAGCCAATGAGAATATCTCATAGCGAGAGTCACTTCTCAGTTGTATGATAAATTTATAAAAACTGCAGCGGTAATGGGGCCTATAGTCGCTATATTTATAGTCTGACGGATAGAATTCAATATATTGTAGACCAACAATTGAAAACGTACTATCAAGCTATATAAAAAAAACTTAGATATTTCTTTCCTCACCAACCGTTCGCAAATTAACAGCATCACCGGATAGTGGAAACTTTCCCTTACCCGATGATGGTGTTAGTTTGCGTATGCGAGCCATGAGTCACGAGAAAAGGGTTTCCAAAGTTTTGTTCGCAAAAGTTGATGTGCTTATTTCTGTTTTTGGTCGTGATATGCTCGATTGGTTCCGCTATTTGACAGCTCAACTGGTTCCCGAGATTCTATCCGCCAGACTATAAAATATACCGACTATAATGGGGCCACCCTTAGCTCAGTCGGAAAAGGCCCAGCTACAAAGCAAGACCATGCTTGAGGTGGCTGGGTGCGATTCCCGGTCAAGACTAGGAATTTTTCGGGAAGAAAAATTTCTTGACTTCCCTGGGCATAGAGTATGTTGAGAGTTGCCACACAATCATACAGTTAAATGGTACAGGCTCTCAATTAATAACTGTGGAAGTGCATCTAGAACACTAAGTTAAGAGCACGATATAAGCTAATATGCGATAAGCAATAAGCTTGAAATGCGATGAAGAAAAATAAAATATTCAGCGCTGAGTTCCTGCCGTTTTTAAAAATTTCTCCATACCTCTGAGAGGAAGTGACTCTCCCTTTCAAACTCACATTTATAAAACACTAACTGAGTGTGCCCGGCCTTGCTCGCAATTATATATTAGCTTGAGTTTATGCGCTGATTAAAAAAAAGCAAACTTTATTGTACGTAGCCCCCTCCCCCCTCTTACAGGGCTGGTAGCGATCACTGCTGTCAAAAATAGTGATTTTAGTGACCATGTTGAAGAAAAAAGTGACCAAATAGTGACATATAGTTGCAAAAATAGTGACTAAAAAGTGACCTAAGAGAAGAAAAGTAGTTGTTCTGATGGCACACCAAATAAATGTTTGATGTTTTAGACTTATTCAATAAATATCTCATAACACCTATGAACGATATGAACCTTTAAAGCGAAAGATCCAATAGAAAGTTTATGACCAAACCCACGGTATTAGTCAGGGTGTCTAATAACTGCAAAAACCGGGAATCCCCAGGAAATTTTCCTTAAATTACCTGGAAGGCTCAGAGAATTTAATAATTTTATGACTTAGGATATTTTAAAGAAAAAAATTAATTTCAAATACAAGCATTTAATTTGTCTCGTTATTTTCATTCACATTTTGAACATGGATGGGGTGGATTTATCTTCAGTAACAAATAAATGAAAAAAGGAGACTTGAAATGTTTTTTTTTTTGTTTTGTTTTTGAACATGCATGTTTCCTAGAAATTTTAAATTTGAACTAGTTCTGGACTTAAAAGCGACGGTACTTCAAGAAATTTTCAAAAATTTGGAGTCAAATTACATGCACAGTTTTAAAAGCTCATAGAATTTTATTATAATTTCTTAGGACCTCATTTCGAGTTCTGGGAAAAAAAAAATCTTTCAGAAAAACATCAAAGGCAATCTGCTTTCAAGGTAGTTCTGGGAATTTAAGATTTCTGGTGAAGCCTGATAGTTTTGAGTAGAATTTCAAGAAACCCTGAATTGAATTGAAAGCAAATTTTAATGAAAACTCTTAGTAAACAAATTATGAGAAGAAATCATAAGAATTTTTGAGGAGAAATGCCAATGAATTTTTAAGGAGACTTTCAATGTGAGTAGAATTCCAAGGGAAGGAGTGAGATTTAAACAGTAATCTGAAATGAATTCTAAAATAAATATTCGGAGAATTTTTCCAAAGGGTTTATTATTGTGGTGAATTTCAAGATATTTCCGAGGAAAACTGAAAGAAAATTGAATTCGAAGCTTCACCTAAAGGTTGAGGAAATCAGATTGGACTATTCGGAGGTCATCAGAACTACTTGAAAGTTCTCAAATTTGTTCTGAAGTTAATGAAACTGTTTTGCAGTTCTTTTTTGTTTGAGAAACTATCCTGATGTTCACAATACTTCTCATTAAATTATTGAACTTCTCTGAACTTTACAGGACTTCCTAAAGTTTCCTCAATTTTTCTAACGATCATAGATCTGTTCTAACGGTTTAACAATTCACTGAAGCTCTCTAAACTTCTTTAAAATTTATGTGACTTCTCTAATGTTAACGGAACTGCTTTGAGGTTCTCTGTTGTTTTCTGAACATTTCAATACTTCTATAAGGTTTTTTCAGTTCATGAAGGTTGTTGTACTGCGCTGAATTTAATTGAACCATCCTACAAATTTTTAGGCTTCACTTTACTTCTAAACTCATGGGAAGAATTAAAGTTTTAACGTATCTGAAGTTATCTGAAAATCTGGGAACTGCCTTAAATTTTCACTAATTTTCTGAAACTAATGGAACTGACCATCCCCTGAAATTTTTCCAATTTTCGAAGCTTACAAAACTTCTTTCAAATGCTCCAGAATTTTACTAATGTTCATACAAATTCCTGAAGTTCGCGGATCTCCTCTTAAGCTCTTTAGATTTCTATGAAGTTCTTGTTTCTGTTTCTGTTTCTGAAGAAGATTTCAAAGTTTTTCTAAATTTCTGGAACTTTTGTGCTCCTGCATTTTTTATGGAAAAAGAACGACATAATTAATAAACTTCTATGATTTTCTCTAAAGTTCTCATGATTTTTCTAAAGCTCATGAAACTTACCGTAAATTATTGGCACTAATTTAAAAAATTTTCAATGGTCTAGATTTTCTTGGTGGTATTAAAACTGCCTTAACCATTATTGAATTTCCTCAAAGTTCTCTAGACTGCCCTGAATTTATTAGTATTTTTTTAAGAACCCGCAATTTGACTGAAATTAAATGATTTGCCTTGAAGTTTCGACAATTTTTCTTGAGTATTAAAATAGTTATAAACGCTCACTAATTTTCCTTGCATTTATCTATGCCTACCTGTTGTCTCTAAATTTGTTTAATAATCCTTCAAATTTTCTGTTTTATATTCATAATTCCCTGACGCTTCTGACGTTTTCGGATCAATAGAATTCTAGGAATACCGCATAATTCCACGGAACTCCGTAAGTCGCTACAAATTTGCTTAAGTTAATGGGATTATTCTGAAACTATCTCATCGTCATCGAAGTACTCGGAACTTCACTGAATATCATGAAAACATCTAAAAATATCGAAATGTATTAGAAGTTCTTTGGATTTCTTAAAAGCTTGCTAAAAGTTCTCGCATTTTTTTTTTAATTATTGGAACTTCGTTGATGTTCTCTAATCAACTAAACTCAATTTTTGCTTTTTTTATGTTCTCACGTTTTTCGGATGTTCAAATAATTTTTCTCACGTTCCAGAAATTCTCTCGGAGCTTTGCTGAATTTTCCGGGTATTCTCTGAGTTTCTCGAAACTTGTTTAAGGTTTCAACAATTTCTTGAAATTATTTGAACAACCCTTTGATTCTCTAATCTGTCTTGATGTTCCTGAAGCTTCCCTAAAGCTCTAAATTGTTTTGAGGATCTCAGTTCTGCTCGAAAATCAATGGATTTTCCGTAAACACCTTTAAGTTTCCTTGAAATTCTTTGGGCTTCTGTGAACTTCCTGAAATATTTCTGAAGTTTTAATAATTTTTCTGAAGGCCTCTATATATCCCTGAAACGGAACATCTCAACAACTCGATTTTTTTTGGCACATCATGGAACTACCCTGGATTTCTAAATTTACGATTATAGATCTTTAAACTGCTCCAAAAGACAGGAACTGATCTTAACATCTGAAATTCCCCAAAGGATTCTGGATCTAGCTTTTCTGAGGTACTTAAAACTTGTTAACAATTTGCACAATACCGTTCAAGTTTCTATATTTCTCAATTTCGCTTGACACCTGTAAAGTTCTCTGAAATTCTACGAACTTTATAAAAGTTCCTGGAAATTTTCGGATGCTGAAGAACCGCTTTGAGGGTATTAATGCTTCCAGTAAGCTCTACATATTTTTAGCGTGTTAACTTCCATTATGTTCCCGCAGTTTGTTTATGGAACTTTACTGAAATTCTCAGCATTTCCTTTCATTCCTCAGAACTTCTCAAAAGTTCCTACAATTGTTGTGAAGTTAATGGACTGCAATGAAGATTTCTAATCTTTCATAATGTTACTTACGAACTTGAAATAAATCTTTTATTTTTTCATTAATTCTGACACTTTGAAAATTTTCAATATCTAGAACTAGTACATGGAAAACGGAACTTCAAGACATTGCATATTTTTAGATCTTGGACTTACTCAAATTATGTAAGTTTTTTTTTAACTTTATAAAGTGAGAAATTAAGTAATTGCTAAATTCAACATTCAATGGATTTGATTGTAAAGCGGTTTCTTTAAAACTGAATGCCATGTCTTAAAAATGTTTGGGTTAATTGCTATTACTTTGAAAGCATGTTTTTAAAAAATAGCAAATTTAAAATAGCTTTCTTATTATAAGCCTGGAATTTTTTCGTTAAAGTTCTGGAAAACTCAAGTAATTTTTAATTTAGACAGATGAGTAGGCACCCTGTAGATAGAGAAAGACGATTAAACGTCACAAAGCAAAGAATGATCCATCTTAAAATAAATTCACGCAAAAAAAGTTTAGTTGTCTTTATTATAGAGACTTTCAGCCTTATGCTGGTTCGAAAGTTGAAAATAGTGACTGATTACAAGAAAAAGTAACTGTAGTGACTTGGCCTT